TTTACGGGCCTTGCCGTTGTCACCAACACCGAAGCAATTCCGAACACCATGGCTCCCATCAAGCCGCACTGGGCGCAGCCGTCGCACCCCGATGTCCAAGAGGTCATCGTCAACGAGGCTGCCTTCACCAGCAAGAGCATCTCCAAGGTTGCTCTCCCTCCCTTTGGCCTGTTCGCCAAGCTTGAGTTCCCACCCTGCACCATCGCCCCCGAGGCTACCTACGCGACGGTCCAGATGGGCCGTGACCGGCACTTTGACTTGAACAGCGACCTGCTGTACATCAACCACTCATGCGAGCCGTCTCTGGTCAGTTCTCTTCTCCCGGATTCGGGGGTGATCGTGGGATACAGCACAAGGCGAGGCCCATTGTTGACATGACCCTCCCACTTTACTCTAGATCTTCGACACGGCCAGCATGAACGTCATCGCCGGCCCGAAGGGTCTGCAGCCGGGCGACGAGCTGACAGTACGTACAACCTTACCCCCCCCCCCTTTTCTTTCCACCAAAAAAAAAAAAAAGGCAAGAAAAAGAACCACCCACTAAACAACCCTCTCCCCCCCATTCCAGTTCTTCTACCCCTCCACCGAGTGGTACATGGCGCAGCCCTTCGACTGCCTCTGCGGCACCCCGACCTGCCGCGGCCGCATCGCCGGCGCGCGCGACATGACCCCGCGCCAGCTCGACGGCCTGTGGCTGAACGGGCACATCCGCGCGCTGCTGGAGGAGCACGACGCCGGCAGCCGCAAGAAGCACCACCACCAGGCAGCCAACGGTACCACCAACGGCACCATTGCCACCAACGGCACCATTGCCACCAACGGCACTAATGGCACTAACGGTGTCAACGGTGCCAATGGTGGCGCGTATGGTGTCGCTGGGGATGAGGCCTCTGGCATGTCTGCCGGGGCGCAGCGGCGGGGTCCGACGTCAAGGGAATTGAGCGGCGAGATGGGCGGGGATACGTCGGTGGTTGTTTGAGGGATCTGCGTATGGCTGCGGGCGGCTGGGGATTTTCAACAATGATGCAGCTGGCTGGCTTGGCTTACGCAGAAAGGGGGGTTTCTTTTGTTTTGTTGTTTGATTTGTTCTTGATTTTGGTGCGCTTTACAAAAGTTACTTGATGCGACTGCGCTATGATCGAGGAGGGTGCGTGATGTTGATACAATTCCCGTCCTTGTCCCATTCCCTGCCTGATGGTGTAACCGTAAACTCCAAACCATCTCCAACGCCATGTCGATCCGAAACGCCTCCTAGGCTGTAAAACAAAATAGATGTTGTACATACGCGATGTCGAAATCTTCCCCAGACCGGCTTTTACCAGATCATCACCTTCCCTTTTCTGAACTTGGCTGCAAACGCAGGGCACGGCGCCTCACCCCCCTTGATCCCGCCCAGCAACCAATCTGTCAAGCCCACCACTTTCGCACCCACCCCCTTTTCCCACTGCCCGCTTTCTTGCATATGCTCAATCGTATGGTTGAGTATCCTCCCCTCGCTGTCAAAGTCAAAAATGAACAGCCCCGTGAACTCCTTGTCACTCGACCCAACGGGTTCCGCCATCCCCACCGGCGCCTTGAACTCCGATCCACACTTCTCCTCCCCTTGCCGTGGCTGTTGTTCTTCCCGCTGTTGCCGTTGCGATTGTATCCCCTCCCCCCTCCCACTCCCAACCCCACCCCTCCCCTTCCTACCCCCCACCTCACCATCACCACCACCACCACTACCAGCAGCATTTCTCCCAGAAGCCCAACCACCCCCTCAAACTTTCATCCCCCAACCCTCACTTGTCGAGAGCGCCATAATCAGTGCATCGCCATAAGGACCATTTGAGGCGGCGCCCCCCAGCCGGCCGGTCCCGGGAGTCATACGCCGACGACTCGATCATGCGCTCGGACAGGATGTGCAGGCGGACGTTGCCGACCAGCGGCAGGCGGTTCCACGCGATGGGCGACGACCACAGCGCGGCCGTGTACGCGACGCGGCCCGACACCGTCGGCAGGTGCGGGTGCGTCGAGGGGAAGAGGTGCAGCGTGATGCGCGGCGAGAGGATGCCCTGCGGTGGCGGGGATTGCAGGAGCGTGGGGAGGTGCGATTGCAGGATGCGGAGGGCTGTGAGAGGAGAGAGAGGGGGGGGGGGTTAGTTCACTGGTTGGTTGGTTTCCTATGGATGGGGGTGAGGGAGGGGGGAAAAGCGTACTCTTGCCGAGCTTGACTTTGCGCTCGTCGGGTGGTTTGTTGTTACCTGGCTCTGGGGAGAGGAGGGGCGGGTGGTAGGTGAAGAGTGCGGCGTCGGGAATAAGTTTTGGTGGGGAGGCGGGATTTTGGAGGGTTGCGAGGTTCTTTTTAGGTGTTGACGGCAGAGGTGAAGCTCGTGGTGGGCGCGAGGTTGTCGACAGGAAGAATGCGGGTGCTTCTGAGCTGTGGCGTCGTTCAATTGCTGACGGAGCTCCCCATGGTGATGGAGCTGGGCAAGTTGCTGCTGGGGACACTCGTGCTGCAGACCCGTGCAGAGGACATCGCAGTATCCTTGCCGGTGTAGACATTAGGTTGTCGGGTTTGTAGATTTCCTTCCCGACCGATGGTAAAGCTTGCACGGGATTTGCCGACTGGCTGACATGCATATATTCAGTGAGGGTTGGCTGTTGCTTTGCGTGGTGTTGGAGGTGCGGGTGCAGCAGGGATGATGTCAGTCATTCTAATCTCGATGCTCACTAAAAGTGAAGTATTGGCAGCTTTGGATAACATGACCCCGGTATAGCGATACTGTTCCCGGCAGACTGGGTAATGCATGGTTTATTGGTGTGCTATTAGCCCAAAACACTTGGCTAGTTAGGTAACTGGGAATTCTGCCATTCACAGTTTACCATGTTTTTGCATGACTTCTTTTTCGCCACTGCTGTCACTTCTAGAGCTGTTTTTGGCCTTGAGGTGTCCGCGTATTTCATGCATACAGTCGCTAGCGAAATCGGCTTCCGCTTTCCTCTCTCACATCTTTCTAGCGCACGGACCTTTTAAGCATCTAGCCAACCACACCGTGTGCCCTCGCACGCGCTTGTGTACCAGGCAGGATAATGCAACAAACCAGTATTATGATGACCGTCAGCCAACCTGGACTGTCAGCTAGAAATGGCTGCGGCAAGAAATGGCTGTTCTTACGATGACCGTCGTCAAATAATAAGCCAAATACGGCTCCATTGCAGTTCCATCAACGGCTAATAGATAAGAGAGGGCGCGGCTGATTCCTTGACCAAGTGCCGGATGGCGATGGTTCCGGTTGCTGCTGCTCGACTGCCGACCCGCCTGTCGGGCGGCGGTTGGGCAGCTCAACGCCCCTCCTCTCCAAATCTTGCGATGTTTGGACAGACTGCTGTAACTACGATTCTCCGTCGCTTTCTCGAACCAATTCCTCAATTCGTACCATACGTTAATTGTTCAGTTGTTTACTGGCACGATGGAGGGGCTCGGGGCCGCCGCAAGCGTCATCGCGGTCGTCGAGCTGGCCGCCAAGGTCGGCTCTCTCTGTCTCGAATACTCGTCCGCCGTTAAGAGCGCCAGGTCCGACATTGAGCGGCTGCGAAAACACACCGAAAGCATGAAGATAACCGTCGACGGCGCGCGAAAGCTTCTCCAGGGTCCGCATGGAGCTCGGCTCGAGACGTCGCAAAAGCTGCACGAAGCCCTGGCTGACACGTACTCGCAGCTTGATGATATCGCTACGAAGCTGGAGGCGAAGTTACATACGGGTTGCACAGCAAAGGTGATGAGACGCGTGGGGCTGCGAGCCTTAAAGTGGCCGTTCGAGAGCAAGGACGTGGACAAGCTCATTGCGAGCCTTCAGCGGGACCAGGCATCCTTTGCGGCCGCCATTCAGATCGATCAAGCGTATGCGCAAACCTGTAACACATGGCGTCAATCAGCGGCTAACCCCGATATATAGCGCGGAAATCGTCGATATCGGCTGTAAGATCGACCTAGCAATGCTCCCGGTCGCAAGCGGCGCGGCCTTCGACTCGCACGCCGAGGAGCACAACGCACGATGCCACCCCGACACCCGAACCGAGCTCCTTCGCCAAATCCAGGAGTGGGCAAACGATCCTCAAGCCGAGAGCTTATTCTGGCTGAATGGCAGGGCTGGAACAGGAAAATCCACCATCTCTCGGACCGTGGCCAACTCCTTCGCAGACGACGGCCTGCTTGGCGCGAGCTTCTTCTTCAAGAGGGGGGAAGGCGACCGTGGCAAAGCTGGCTTGGTTTTCCCTACCATTGCTAGCCAGCTTGTGCGCAAAATCCCTACCCTAGTACCTTCCGTCAGAAAGGCCATCGATGCCGACCCGGACGTTCCCAAGAAGGCACTGAGAGACCAGTTCGAAAAGCTGATCCTCCAGCCGCTTGGCTGCATTCACCGCACTACGGCTATTGTTGTCATTATTGACGCTCTTGATGAATGTGATGGAGACAAAGACGTGAAGACCATCATCTCCCTGCTCGCGCAAGCAAAAGTGGTATGCTCCGTACGTTTGAGGGTCTTCATCACCAGTCGGCCTGAGCTGCCTATTCGCCTCGGTTTTAAGGACGTCCAGGGAAAGTATCAGGGCCTAGCTCTACACCAGATCCCAGAACCCGTCGTGGAACAGGACATACCTACATTTTTGGGGTATGAGCTCGCGCGAATCAGGGATGAATACAACGGACAAGCTCCCCGGTACTCCAAACTACCACTGGGTTGGCCCGGCCAAGATGTCATTCAGACTCTCGCTCAGATGGCTGTCCCATTGTTCATTTTTGCCGCGACCGTCTGCCGGTTTGTTGAGGATAAGGCATGGTTTAATCCTGGCGATCAGCTAAAGAAAGTCCTGCGGTACCAGGCGAAGACGTTCGATTCCGAGCTCGACAAGCTCGACGCGACATATCTCCCCATCCTCGACCAGCTTACCGTAGGACGTACTAATCTACAAAGGAGCCGCATATTAGCTCAGTTCCAGGATATCGTTGGCCCTATTGTTCTCCTCTCTCAGCCCCTCTCAGTATTATCGCTTGCACGGCTTCTCAACATCCCCCCTACGACTATACATGGAATTCTCAACTCTCTCCACTCCGTCCTAGATATCCCCTCGGAGGACGATGCCCCAGTCAGGCTCTTTCATCTCTCCTTCCGCGACTTCCTCGTTGACCCGGCCAAGCGTACTACGAATGAGTTTTGGATCGACGAGGCAAAATATCATAAGACGCTTGCGGAAAAATGTATCCAAGTTATGGGCCAACACCTAGAACGAGATATCTGCGGTTTAAGGGTGCCGGGAATACTACGGTCAGAAATCGGCCAGCAGACTATCAACGCCCACCTACCGCCCGAAGTTCAGTACGCCTGTCAGTACTGGGTCCACCACCTGAAGGAAAGCAAACATAATATAGAGGACGATGGCCCGGTCCACACCTTCTTGACAAGCCGTCTCCTCCACTGGCTTGAGGCTTTGTCCCTCCTCGGAAGACTCTCAGACGGGGTATTGTTGATAAGAACGCTTCTGCAAGCTGCCCAGGTCAGTTCATAGCACTGTTATATTGCTATACAGTGACTAATTATTGCCAGCTACAGTCGGATACAGCATCTAATCTTGTTGAATTCCTAAACGATGTAGAAAAGTTTATTCGCAGTCATGGAACGATTATGGAACGGGCTCCATTACAGATATACGGTTCTGCACTTGTCTTCAGTCCAACCTTAAGTAAGGTCAGAAAGCAGCAGTGGAAGAGGAGGCTGTCATTCATCAAATCGGCCGCAGGTGTCAAAACCCGCTGGGATACGCACCAACAGACGCTCGAGGGGCATAGCGATCTCGTTATGGCGGTGGCGTTCTCGCCAGATGGGAAAACGCTTGCGTCAGGCTCGTACGACAAGACGATCCGGCTCTGGGATGCGGCGACGGGTACGCATCAACAGACGCTCGAGGGGCATAGGCATTCCGTCGATGCAGTAGCGTTCTCACCGGATGGGAAAACGCTCGCGTCAGGCTCGGACGACAGGACGATCCGGCTCTGGGATGCGGCGACGGGTACGCACCAACAGACTCTCGAGTGGCATGGCAGTCCCGTCAGGGCGTTGGCGTTCTCGTCAGATGGGAAAACGCTTAAGACAAACCATGGCCTCTTGAGTATCAACCCAGGCTCGGACGCTTCCCAGAGAACAGTAAGTATTATTCTCTTAGTCGATGGCGAATGGATCACCAAAGGTGGAAAGAAGCTTCTCTGGCTTCCTCCCGATTACCGGGCATCGTGCACATCAGTGTACGATCATACACTGGTCCTGGGACATGCCTCTGGGGAAGTGACGTTCTTTCAGATGGTTTCCGCTTAATAATGCAGCAGTGTTATATATTTATGATATCTTTGCTCAAATGAAGGATCTGGGAGAAATGTTTGCTTTATAACTACTACTTAGAACTCGCCACTTATGTAAATGTTGACAAATTGTCAGAATATCTACGCCAGAGTTCCGTCCTCGTAGGAGGACGTGGTCTTGGACCTCGCGGACGATAACCCCGGCAGCAAACTTTGCCCCCTCCTCATCCTAGATAGAAGAACATGATCCAACTGAACCACCAATGTAGCACGTCCCTCCAGAGAAAGGGATTTGCGCTGTGTTTTTAGGTTATCGCGATACATACCTGGTATTTCCTACACAAATACACCTTGCCACGTTCTGGGTAATTAGGTCTAGTCTTAGCATTGCATCATCCATCTACGTAATCCATATGTGCGTGCTATACTTAGGCCAGTGCGAGATCGTACGGTGTGGTCGGTTAGATGCATAAAAGGCCCGTGCGATGAAATGACGTGAAAGATGAAAGCGGAAGCCGATTTCGCTAGCGACTGTATCAGAGATTGCATGATAGTTGCCCTTTCGGGTTAGGCCCGCCGGGCGGAATAAATTGTGTGTGTGTATCAGACAATATCGTATCTTTGACGAGTACGTTTGGAAAGCGTGCTTACACAGGAAAAAAAAACTGGGTCTGGTTTCGCAGTCTTCTTGGAATCCCATGTGTTGCGTCGGCATTTATCCCCCCACCTGGCTAGCCACTGTAAAGGCGCTGCCAGCTGACACTCTCAGTGGAGAAGCCACACCCGAGTGTCACGAGCCTGAAGCCCCAGGTCTCGGCTCCTCGGGACACAAAGAACCCCAGTTTAAGTCACGCGGAATGGTCAAGTTGCCTGCCTCGGCGAATCCCTTGATCTTACTGGGTTTGGTTCCTTCTCTTTAGGCTCAGTTTCTCGCTTTTGACTGTGTCTTGACGGTGAGCAAGCCACACTTGCCACAGTCTATCTACGCGTCACGTGAGATAGCTACCCTCCCCCTGGGGGGCCTGTGATGTTCGCCCGAGCCAAGCTGGGTCTGGGACCAATTGTTCTGACGCCCTGACGCAGCAGCCTTCCATGGACGACTGCACTTCTTCGACAACCGACCAGCCTTCCTCATCATCAAACTCCGACCAAAACAACCCACCTTTACTTTTCTCCACTTGCATCAAACAACAACCATTCGCATCTGACTCCACCACTACATCCTCAACGCAACACTACGATAAATCGCCCACCATGAATCCCGAGTAGTACGTCGCCGCCTTCTGCGGTGCGGCCTGGCGCCCGCTGCCCGCTTCTTCTGCCTTTGTCCGCGGCTGCTGACACTTTCGCTCTTCTTCAGGGTCCCCTCGATCAGTTTCTACCCATCCTCGCGATACCCAAATATCGCTTTCCATCCGGCGCCGACTACTAAACAATGTGTCAGATACGATTACCTCTTCAAGCTGCTGCTCATCGGTGACTCGGGTGTCGGCAAGTCTTGCCTGCTCCTGCGGTTCGCCGATGACACCTACACAGAGTCTTACATCTCCACCATCGGTGTCGACTTCGTATGTGGCTGTCAGGAAAAGCGGTCAGGCTGCAGCGGCTGACCCTCGCAGAAAATCCGGACGATCGAGCTCGACGGCAAGACGGTGAAGCTACAAATCGTACGCATACCTCGCCCAATACCCTTTTCCCAACCCCGCCCAGGCATGACGTAAGGGGAGAAGGAAAGAACCCGCCCGCTGACTTGACCACAGTGGGACACGGCCGGCCAGGAACGTTTCCGCACCATCACATCGTCCTACTACCGCGGCGCCCACGGCATCTGCGTCGTCTACGACGTCACCGACATGGACAGCTTCAACAACGTCAAGCAGTGGCTGCAGGAGATTGACAGGTACGCCACCGAGGGCGTCAACAAGCTGCTCGTAGGAAACAAGAGCGATATGGCGGACAAGAAGGTTGTCGAGTACACAGTCGCAAAGGTACACCCCGCACCGCACCCGCCATGTGAGAGTTTGTTGACGGAACTGACCCCGCCCAGGAATTCGCCGACAGCCTCGGCATCCCCTTCCTTGAGACGTCGGCCAAGAACGCCAGCAACGTTGAGCAGGCCTTCTTGACCATGGCCCGCCAGATCAAGGAGCGCATGGGCAGCAGCATCGCGACTAACAACACGAAAGCTAATGTCAATGTCGCGCCCGGCCAAGGTGTTTCTAGCAACAACAACAACGGCTGCTGCTAAGCGACGGCTGGTCGGTCCACTGCGCCATTTGGTGTTGCTACTGCTGCTGCGCTTGGGTGTTTACGGTTTCTTGCATCGGATGGGTTTTTCGGGCACCATGGGGGGCGTGGTTAGATCTGCAAGAGGGGCTGGTCTGAGGAAGGAGGGCTGTCCTTTGGATGCGCTGGCGGTCAGTTTCCATTCGCTTTGGGTCTCTCATTCCCGCGTAGTCCTTTTTTGAGAGCGGGGTTCCGGAAACCGGAGCTCGGACATTTCGTGTTTCGAGCCGGACTCCCCTCGCCAGAGGGAACGGAGCAGGCGGAGGAAGGGCCCAGGTGTTCCCAAAAACGGACCACGACAGACTGGGCCAGAGCAGGAGTTGTTGATTTTCCTTTACCGCTACTACCACCACCGCTGCCTTACTATTTACTACTTACAACTCGCGTCTGTGTATTTTCTCGTCTTGGTCATAACTGGGTCTTGTTCTGTTTTGTTTATTGGTACACTGTGTTTGTGAACTAGACTGGTGTTGTGCCTAGTCTGAGGATGGCGAGCTAATGCTAGACGGCTAGGTCAGAAGACATTTGTCATGGTGGCAAGGGCAGACTGAGCTTGGTCATCCACCGGAGCTATCGCATCTTCAGCCCTCGCATCGCTGCTATAGCTCTCTCGCCGCCTGGAAGGAAATATGAGGGCCTATCAGTTTCCTTTTGCTGTCCACGATGCTGTGACGTGACAAGTGATAAACCGGTGATACAAGACATGTCTACAAAACACAATCTACGAAACACAATGCAACACAGCAATGGCCCAAGTGATGCACAAGATCCTGATCCCATTAATCCCACTCCGTCGCTAAGCTATCTCTAATCTGGTGGTGGTATCACAGACAAGAAGTGGAAAAAGAGACAAAAAAGAAAATGGAAACGAGAGAACAACCAGAAACAAAAACAAACGAAAGAGCAAGGCAGCTCTCAGCTAACTCCCGAACCAAACTCCGTAACTAGCCTCCACATCCTTTTTAATCACGGTCCAAGGTATCTTACATCCACCACCCAGCTAACTGTCAAAAGATAAGAGTTGAAGAAAAGCCACCCTGACCACCACCACACTCCACTCAGACGAAATCAATCTTTACACCAGGCCCAACCACCGCATAGCCTTGCTACTCCGCCCCCTCTCAATCTCCTCGCGTCGCCGGAGGTACAGCGGCATCAGCCGGCGCTCTTCCGGGTCTGGCTCCGAGTCATCACTGTAGTAATCCTCATCATCATTGTGGTTGACGGCAACAGGAGCAGCAGCGGTATATTCGGGTGGGGACTCTGAGGGCTCGATGGATTCGTTATCTGCCTGGCCGCCGTTGGATACCGCCGTCGATGTGGGTGGTAGTGTCAAAGCTGATGGCGGGGCGATGCCACGCGGCGAGAGGGGATCCGAGTGCTTCTTTTGATGGCGGGAGCTGTATGTAGTCTTCGCGATGGTCTGGTTTGTGGTGGCGTGTGCAGCGGGCAAAGGGGGGACAGGGGGAGTGTCGTAGTTGACCTCTCCCCATTGCACGCGGCCACTGCTTGAGAAATCATCGGTGAAGGAAGCCCGAGTGGAGCGACGCCCCCGGCCAGGCGGCGACGCTGTTGCCGAGGACGAGGACCGTGGGGGAATGCTTCGCGGGTTGACGTGATGAGGTGGGTGCGCTGGCGTCGACGATGATTCGGTCGGAGAAGATGGCGGGGTGATGAGGGTTGACGTGGATACCAGGGGGGCTTTCTCCGAGTGCGGTTTCACGTCGGCCGACTCAGTGCTAACTGAAAGACTCGGACGGCTCTTTCTCGGCGGGGATTGCGGTTCGGGGTGCTTATAGAGCGGGCGTTCTGGCATGTAATAATCCGATATGGAGATCAAACTCTCGCGGATCGCAGCGACGAACGCCGCAGTCTCAAATCCGGTAGCGGACGAAGCGAGGAGAAAATTGGCCTTAGAAAAGGAGCAGGGCCCGACGAAGGCGCCGGACTTGCGCGACCCCCGACGGTTGAGAGACCGGAAGCCCTCGCTCGAACGGCGGTTTGTGTCCGGTGCCGACAGAGACTGCTGCACCGGGGTCGAGACATCACCGTCGATGATGCCCACGACCTTCATCATCTCTGTCCCAATGAGCGTCTGGAGGGCCAGGACGGTCGGGAGATGCTCGGAAGGATACTCAATGAGCAGGAAGCGCACATCCGGGTGAGTGGCCAGGTACGTTTCGAGGTGAGGGATGATCAGCGCGGCGAGCAGAGCGCGGTCGGCAAAGGGATTGCTTTGGGTCTGTTTGGTGAGAGGCTGGGCGGTAAACGCCTGCATCGCGTTGGCGATAAGATATCTGTCTGCGTTAGCACCTGCTCTCTTCAATCAACCTGGAGCTTCGGTTACGTACCTAATATCTAATCGCCCGCTTCGCGACAGCCCGCTCGTCTTGAACCCCAGTTTCTCGATTTGCCCGATGATCTCTGATAGACGGTTTTTGGTCACCCCACTCTCGGACCCAACGGCCATGATCAAGTCGAGCCTTCTCTCGCCATCATTAGGCTCGGCCTGTCCGTCGCACTCCAAAGCCCTCCACAGGCCAGTTTCCGCTGGGAAGTCGGCGCCATCGGCGGCCGAAAAACGCCGGTCTTGTAACGGGAACTGGGAGCCGAGGAACGACCGCAAAAAGTTCTGTATGGAAGCTGCCGTCTCCTGCCCAACGCTGATACTGTAGAACCTCGTGTCCATCAGCGGCGTGGCTACAGACGAGGCATCTAGCGGGTTTGGAGAGTGATTCGGGGTGGGGAGGCCATGAACCAAGTCTTTTCGCGTCCAGGGCACGACTGCGCCAGCATCGCCGTCCTCTGGTTGACCTTGGCTCGCATCTTGACCATCGCCTATTGCCAGGTGGCTTGTGCCTTGGAAAGCATCATAATGGGGCACCAAAGGCCCCGATACCGATATTGATTGGCGAGGTGTCTTATACCCTTCACTTAGACGTCTAAAAACAAAGTTCTGCAGTTTGTCGGGCGTCTCGGGGGTGAAGAAGACGACGAGATCCTCCAAAAGTGGTAACACCGACTCGAAAGGCTGCTGCTCTATTGTGTCAGGTGGTCGAGAGGTGGGTGGTTCATTTGAATTTCCATCCCCATTGGGAGGCAATTGGTCATTTGGCAACTCCGACACAACCACATCCTCTTGAGTGTTGTTATGGCCAGTCGGCTGTTGCTTCGGCGACAAGTTCGACTCGGCGGTCCGTGATCTTTTGTGAGATAGAACCCCGGGTACCTGACCCTGTGGGTGGTAGACATTGGACCGGTTGCCGCCAAGTGCCGCATCACCAGCCCAGGCTATCGGCGAGGACGGGATGTGGATCCTCAGCGGCGGCTTGCGAGGCGCCGCTGTGGCGTCGAGTGAGACACGAGGAGCCGGGTCCTCGTAAAGTCTCGTCTGGCCGTCGCTTGGTGAAGGCGGTCTGGGCCCCCGAAGAATTTCGGAAGACTCGGCAACGGTTGAGCTCAGCCGCTTTTTGGACGGTGGGATATCGACTAGCTTAACTGTGAGATCCATGTCTGGCGTGAGCGGCTGGAGAAACTCGGTCTCTTTGTCCAGTGCGTCTGCAGCTCTCATGGCGCGGATGATACGGTCCTCGAAAGAGTCGCCGCCGGCGTCGTTCATGTATCCGCCCCATTCGTACCGTCGACTCGGCGCTCGATCGAGTATGGTCGGCTCAAAATCGTCGTCCATCGCCACACTTTCCGAGGGTGAGTCCCCGGCATTCATAATCCGAGAGCCTCGCTGACGATAACCTGGCAGCTCCAATGCTCGCCAGCCGGACGAACGTGGCATGAGCTTCTTCGATATCGCCATCCGGCTCATGCTCCATGATGGTCGAGAGACATGACACCTGGGCCGACATGGTGCCCCCGTGCAGGAAGACAAGTCGCTTCTCGCCTGTTGATGCCGAAGGCCTCAAGAACTCCAAGGCCTCTGTGTGTCGATTCAGGGAAGCAGTGCGATAACGGCGGATGAGCTCCCGTGGGTCGAAAGGTGTGTCCGGCTCGAGGTCCTTCAAGTAATTTTGAAGACTTGGAAGGACGAGGATCTGGGGGGAGGCCGGGAGAAGACGCAATTGAGTCGACACGAGCTCCGAGGGACCCTCCAAGGCAACGATATGCCCGGGGCGCCGTTGTGGGATCGGCACGGCCATGCTGAATCCAGAATCAACGGCCGTTCTTCAACAAGCGGGAGGCTCGAGATCGCCACCGCCACGCTCCTTTGCTGGAACCAACGAAGCAAGCGAAGCTGGTGTGAGGGACGTGTGGGGATTTCTAGAATATTAGAAAAGAAGAAAGGCCCCCGGACGGTCCTGCCGATGTCCGTGTGAGGTTTGCGATGTTTGCGAAACAGTTCCCGGGCGGCGCAACCAACGGACCAACGGTCTTGCAGTCGACAGCGAGTGGCTTCGAAAAAAGAAATCGAGATCGACCAAACATGGGCTAGGTCGAATCCTCGAGGGACCAAGAACGCGAGGGGGTGGCTTGCATGAAGGCCATGGGTAATGGGGGAAGAGAAAGCGAGAAGGTGAGAAGTGACAAGGAGAGGGAGGGCTTCGGATGAGAGACCTGCATCTAGCCTGGGTGCATGCTGTGTGCTACCCGGATTGGGAAGTGTGTGAGTCTAAAAGTCGACCCAACAACTCAGCCCATCACACATGCGCCGCCTTGTTGCGCGGAGCAAACAAATGGGAAAGTGGGTTGAAAGACCAGTAAAAGTCCAGGGGCAGTTAGTGAAAGACCCAAAGAACAGGACAAGACATGGGATGGTGTGGTGGGGTAGGAAGGAGGGGGGATCTTTGGGCCATGGAACTTGGGTTATGGTTGTCCGATTCCGGGCCTTCTTTTGCCTTTCTTCGGGCTCAGGCTGCAAGTGAGAAAATAGAGTAAAGGTACGGACGGTAATCGGTACCAGGTAAAAGGGAAGGAGCGGGCGGATCGAACCAGAGATGCTCAACTGCACTGCACTGACTGTGACTGCACCTCTGCCCGAACTGAGGAGGGAGGAGGGGGTGGGGTGGCATGGGGGATATTTTCTTTCATCCATGCCGTCCTCTCTGTTTCCCGGAATTGCCATGTAAATTGTTTTCTCTCTCTTTTTTTTCCCGGAAAGAATGCAAAAGATGTTGCATCTTTCGAACAGCCGGGAACTCTCCCGGATACCAGCAGGACAGCCACCAAGATAATCAGTCCAGTGATTGGCCATCCCGACCTTGAAACGGAGTTGTGCGATGTGAGGAACCAAAACTTGGGGAATGCTGTGCGTAAGCGCCTGGTGTGCACACCAACGGCCACTGTGCAAGGCCCCGGCCAGGTGAGATACCGGGACGGTGTGCCATGTAAAGGCATCCGTTAGGCTCGTTTACGCACGTTGCCGGACGCAACAAATGGAGCAGAACCTTTTCAGCTGCACGTCGGCCCTGCGCCGCCCCCACGGCCAAACTACCTAACAGTGCCATTGTTGTACATAAGGTCTTGCATGGGGAAGCGAGGTCGGTCATGCAGGTTGCTGATCTCTGCAGGCAACTTAAGGCGTTGGCAGCCGTACGGGTTGCGTGTTGATAATGTTCCGCCCCAGGCGACTGCGCCTGAACTGTGGACAAAGTGCCAACAAGGCTCTGCAAATATTGGGCGCGTTGGCAGTTGCAATCGGAGGTCGTGAACCTGAAACTCCATCTCTTGAATGATCTGTTGTGCAGGACGCTAATCCGCTCAAGGTAAGGGACGTGCGTCAGGCTGTGGGGTTAGCCGGGTTGGATGCTGGGGGATCCTCTCACGCCTGGAAAATGACCGGGCATCTCCCGATCTGGGATGGGATCATGTAAAAATAGTGACTTGTCGCCTTTCATCCAAATTTGCTCGTCTGGTCTTGGATGCCAAAGCCGTATTGTCTCGGAGTTGATTCAACAGAACCACAGATTTTTTTTTTTTTTAGATTTTTTTTGCATGGTGGAAATACTTACCTGGGTGCTGTGTAGCTAAATACCTACCTACCTAAGGTAGGTAGCGAGTAATGGATATCCGGATGTGCGACCATCTTGACAACAACAGAGCCCCGCTACGAAGGAAACGCAGAATCGGAATCGGCGGCCAGGATGTCATCTCGCTGCCCCACCACGGACGGGCCATGTTTCCCGACCGCCTCGACGCCAACAGGCGCCTCCCGTCCCAACTACCGCGAAAACTACAGTCTGATGCAACTCTGTTATGGACTGTTGGCAAGATAAGTCGAAGGACATGCTATTTTCTGCGTCTCTCGCCACAAAACCGCATGGGAAAGTCCAAGTCACATCTCGCAAAAATCACACTTGATCGGTTGGCAGAAAGGCGTTCGGTCATAGCCGAGGGCTGAATGGTTGGATTTGTGGGTTTGCTGTTCTTTCTTCTTTTGACCTTGTCCCCACGCCGATCCGCGGGGAGATATCTGCAATCTCAACTTTCTTTGCTCCGGCGCTCGGCTGCAGTTACCCGACTACCCTGCATAGTATCAACTAATGATGCGTTTCATTCAATTAGCAGGTGAGCAGGTCTGGCGTGCGTTTAGATCTTGCTCCGCCATCTGGAACCTTGCGCCTGCAGGATCAAGCTTCCCGAGACAAAGACGACCACTTGGCTCGCTGTATTCCCAATCATCGTCTCACTGTGGGGATTTCTTGCCGCGACCCAGCCATCATCTGCGGGCAACCCATGATCCCTGGTTATCGGATTTGCCTCCCCTACGCGGCGAAGTCCCGTGGAACCAGCCGGACGCTTGCAGCCGATCGCCAGTCCTGATAATCAAACTGAATCAGCGTTCGGTGGCGCCTTGGAAGCTAGAATATCACGTGTGTAACAGTGGGGGCTCAACCACATCATGAAATGGCTCTCCGGGCTTCCTCAATTTACTCCATGAGGGCGGCAAGCTCGGCTTCCTCTTCGGCGCTTAGCAGGCCCTCACCACCGACCTCCTTCTGACCTTCCTCAGCGGGCTTCTTCTGCTCCTCCAACGCGGCGTCCAAGCCGGCCTTCTCCAGAGGCCATGTCCGGACTGTACCGTCAATGCTCACGCTGCAGACCCGGTCGCCCGACCCGCTCGGGCCCCTGAGCACGACCAGTTCTGTGACCTCGTCGTAGTGTCCCACAAGGGAGCAATAGAGCTTGCCCGACGTCCGGTCCCAGAACTTGATGTCCTCGTCCCTGCCAGCCGTGATCACCCACTTCTCCGTAACCGCCACAGCACGCACGTGGTCTCCGTGGTGAAAGGTGTCCTCGCAGGTGAAGTTCCTCATCCTCGACAGACACTTCGCAGTGCCGTCGCCGCTCGACGTCCAGAGATCAACCTCGTCGCTGTCGCGGTCGAGCGCGAGCTTGTAGACGGTCGTCTCGTGTTCCAGAATAGTCCGGCGGTCCGTGCCTGGGGCGTCGGGGGACGTTTCAGCAAGCTGCTCCCACCCGTCGAGCCGGATCTTCCACCGGCGGATGTGCGGGTCGCTGCTGGCGCTGATGAGACTGATCTCGCCCTCGGTGGAAGACGCATGGTCGACGACCAGGTCCTGCAGGCTGAGCATGTTTACCTCGCTGTCCTGCAGAGTATGCAACCTGGCTCCTGTGGAAATGTCCCAGACCATGATCTTCTTGTCGGCGGCAACGGTTATCAGGGATGTACCTTGCCCCCGACCCGTCGGCACACACGACGGGTTTGACAAAAGTCTTGTGTTGGCCGACAATATTTACGCCCGGGGGGCTTTAGAGACCCAGATCCCCAAGACCCAGGATGTTCTTGTCCCACGATCCGGGCGAAAGAAGGGTTCCCGGAGTTGGGGCCGCCGACAGCGACAGAGCAGACTGGAGCAGTTGGGCCGCGGTAAGCCGTCTTGGTGTCCTCGGAGCTCCTGGAAAAATATTAGAACACCGATTTTATTTTTTTGATCTTATTTTCCATAGTCTGTTAGGCATACTACGTTAAGCTTGACTAGCCGCACAGCACCAGCCGACTCAGCAACCAAGATGGCCGATGAAGGAGATCTGGGATCTGGTACTGCGGCTAAAATCTTGGATTTTAGAGAAATTGGGTTGCCATATTTGTTCCCGGCTTTGGCTGCCCGCCGGTGCCTCTTCTCCTGAGCGGCGCTGTAAGATAATTAGCTCGGGGGTTGCCAGGACATTAATATGTTGGTTACCCCTTTTTCAACTCACTTAGTCTTGAAAAAGTGCTCGGGGTTAACGGATTGCATTTTGCAAGCTGTTTGGAAGCTGTTGTGCCCAAAACTTGTCTGTAAAATATCTATCACCGAGGAGATTAATATACCTCTTCAATTCTTCGCTGCCTGGCAAAAACCAAGTATCTTTGCTGCTGCCTCGAGTTGTTGATGAGTGAGCCCGGTCTTTAAGTTGTCTACCTACCTACCTAAGTGCCTGATGGAAAGCAATCGAAGTGGCCAGGCGATGGCAGCTGGCGGGCCACTTACAAGGGCATGGCTGAACCTATGGTGGGGCTCGGACGCGAAAACTAAATGGAAACGCGGGTCGACGCGTCTCCTTTCAACACCACGTTATGTACATCCCCACACTTCAACAGCACCACTTCACCGCCCCAGACGTAATAATATCCACCACACCAAAATTATATCTGAGAGGGCTGGAACTTACTCGCCAAAGGATCGGGTGCTTGGAGTTCGAAACTGAGCTCCAAACAACAGCATGACATCCTTTATCTCCTCGCGGCCACGGGCAAGGCCAGCGCACACACAGGGGATTACACGTTGCGCATATACCCCCGACGGTACTAAGCTGGTCACAGTTGGCTCCAATAATCTCATTCGTGTCTACAAGACGGGCTCCGATGGCGAACCCGACAACATCGATGACTGCCAGGAACAGAACCTAGCCGTGTCCGCGAGTAACACCTTCTTCATCGCCGGAGCCGAAGATGGCACTGTCAGCTATTACATTCTCGCCGCCACTCCGAATGCCACGAGCATGTTCGACAAGTTTCTGCTTCGCACCTCCATGCCCGTCCGCGATGTCGCCATCTCGCCCGATAACAAGTGGTGCGCCGTGGCCAGTGACGAGCTGACCGTCAAGCTGGTCGGCATTCAAGACAACACCCAGCTGCTCACATTGAAGGAGCATGGCAAGCCGACCAAGCACCTGTCGTTCGACCCCAAGGGCAGCATGCTAGCCCTGTCGTGTACCGATGGAGTCGTCTATGTCTACTCCCTGACGGCGGAGCACCCCGAGCTCATTCGCAAGGTGGACGGCATCATCGGCCGGATGGAGACCGAGTCAGAGGCCTCGTGCAAGGTGGCATGGCATCCCGACGGGCGGGCATTTGCGGTGCCGACTCCAACGAGGGATATTCAGGTCGTATCCAAGAACGACTGGGAGAAGCAGCGCGCCTTTTCCAAGGGGCATGACGGGGACATCACTGCTGTGGCCTGGTCACCAAACGGCGCCCTGCTCGCGACGGCGGGCAAGGACAAAAAGCTGCTGATCTGGTCCACCAAGGACCAGACCGTTCTCGCGAGATATGAGTACCCGAATGTCGTTGACATTGCTTGGCACCCAACCAAGAACTTGGCCTCTTTCACCACGTTGGACGGTCAAGTCTTCATCTGCGAGGAGTTTATCTCGGAGCAGTTTGCTTCAATGCTCAGGCTGCCCCAACAGCCTGCCCCTTTTATCCATGATCCTCTCGCCGATATTGGCGCCAACAACAGGAGGCCAGAGCCCAATGGGGCGAACCTGCCCTCTCGACCTCGGCGGGGTTCCATCGACAGTTTGGATGACTTGTTGGATGATGATAATTTTGGGGACGAGGATGACGGTTTCGTGGTTGACGATGATGGCGCAGGATACACGCTCAATGCGGCTCAAAAACGCCCAGCTGATGATGACCTTCTCGGGCAACGTCCTAGCAAACGCGGGAACTTTGTCCAACCACAAGTTCATCGGGCCTTCCAGCCTGGTGCAACCCCCTGGCGTGGAAACCGCAAGTACCTGTGTTTGAACCTGATCGGCTTCATATGGACAGTGGATCAAGACTCACACCACACGGTTACGGTGGAGTTTTACGATCATGAGTTTCACAGGGACTTCCACTTTACCGACACCTTTCTCTACGACCAGGCGTGCCTGAACGAGAAAGGCGCGCTGTTTTCATGCCCGCCCAAAGACGATGCTCCAGCGGTGCTCTTCTATCGCCCGCACGAGACCTGGACCCAGCGGACCGACTGGCGCATCGAGCTGCCCAAGGGCGAAGCGGTCCTAGCCATGTCGCTCAGCGATAGGTTTATTACTGTCACAACAACGGGGAATTATGTAAGGATATACACGCTCTTTGGTATTCCCTATCGGGTGTACCGGCCCAAGAGCACGCCCGCCGTCTCGTGTGCGAGCTGGGGGGATTATGTCCTGACCATGGGCAACGGCCCCGTTGGTGCGGATGGCATGTGCCGGTTGCTGTACACCATTGAGAACATCAAGCGGGACGAGATCTGCCAAAATGAAGACACGGTCGCACTACCTGAAGGAGCGACTGTCAAGAGCGTCTTCTTCTCAGACAGCGGGGTACGTTACCTCTCTTCCCCTTTTCCCCACCCCTCACTAACATCCCCAGGACCCCTGCATCTACGATTCAACGGGCACACTCCTAACTCTTCTCCACTGGCGCGAGCCATCCCGCGCCTCCTGGATCCCGCTCCTCGACACCAAGCTCCTCCCGCGACTCGCCTCGGGACGCAAAAACGAAACCTACTTCCCCATCGCCGTCGCCGACAACAAATTCCACTGCATCATCCTCAAAGGCGGCGATCAATACCCCTATTTCCCGCGCCCCCTGCTCTCCGAGTTCGAGTTCTCCATCCCGCTCGTCTCAGCCCCTCCACCCAAGAAAAACAAAAAGACAAAAACCGCCAAAAACCGCGGCGACGACTTCGACGAGGACATGCTCTCAGGCGACGAACCCCCGTCCTCCCCAGAACCCGAAGACGACGACGACGACCCCGCCACGGGCGACGCGGAAACCCTCGCCCTCACGCAGACCTACCTGCAAAAGTCCGTGCAGTGCGCCCAGCTCGCCGACCAGCTCTCCACATCACGGGGCACGGCGTCGCAGCGGGCGCGGCTGGCGCGCCTGCAGCTGGACGTCGACAAAGCGCTGCTGCAGATGCTGGCGGTCGAGTGTCGCGAGAGCGGCGAGGACCGCGGCATGCGCGCCCTCGAGATGGTGCAGCTCATGCGCGATCGCTCCGGCAGGATGTTGGAGGCCGCTGGGAAGGTCGCGGAGCGGTATGGAAGGGCGGTGTTGGGGGGGAAGATTAGGGAGTTGGGGGAGTTGGGGGGTGAAGATGAGGAGGAGGGGGATGGGGACGGGGATGTGTTTGGTTGAGGGGTTTTGTTTGGGTTGGTTAATTGCCTGGCCGGTTGGTTGGTGCCCTGTTTACCTACATGCCCTGCCCTACCTGTTTGTTCCATCAGTGTCTGGATGGTGAGGGAGTTAGACGGGAGTGGGGCTGTAACGATGGTTTAACGAGACCGCAATCATGTGTTTTCTTGTTCTATATACTTGTTTGAACTGGGCTTCTGGTTTTGGGTTGGTTCCGTGGCGATGGTGCACATACAAGACGTCCCGTGTTTCGTTTAGTTTGGACGACCACAATGGCATTTATGATGAGCGGTTTTCTCGCCGGCACACGGATGCGATAGCATGACGCCTATAACATGGTTTTTACCAACTACCGGTTTCTCGTACTAAGTTCATGGGGGGGGGATAGTATAGGTTTGTGCGTTTCCGGGCAGTTGTGGGAGAGCGTAGATCTTTGAAACAGAAACTTGGCGGTGCGTTTTGTTAGCACCCGGGGAGTTAAGCTGGCCCCGTTCAGGTTTCTTATGCGTGATAATCATGGTTCGCGGTCGGTATCTGTGGGGATGCCAAACATGTTATGTTACACAGGAATAGGAGGAAAGGCGGTATCGCCAGACTGGCAGCCAGCAGGTAGATCACCTCCCGAGCTAGTTGTTCGATGCGACTCGTCACAATTCAACCCTCGATAGCCACTGACAAACCACTTTTGGAAACTCACTACCTATTCCGGCAAGGCAGACCGGCAGACCGCAGAAATCACGACAGCTGCGGATCCCTTCTTGCCTCGCCTGGGCTGGGTGTAACTCACACAAGGCTCTGGGGGTAGTTTAAACGCAGAGCCATGCACCAGTTGCATCTGCATCCGGCTGAACGCTTACCCTTACAACGTCGGTGTGCTGGCTTGGCGCATCGGCAGACATGAAACCTCAAGGGGACGGGAGCCGGAGCGGCGTCCGTGATATGGCCAAGAAAAGGAGGCGGCCACATGGAAAAACCGAGAAGTCGTCACGTCCTGTACATCGGTGATCATGCGCTTTGGCCGATCGAAGGGAGGGGTGAAACATGGGCTGGCAAGTTCGGGTCCGTCAGACGCACAGTGATGGTGCGGTGTGCCTTGCTCCTCTCTCAGATGCGCATCGCGCACGCCCGGAACCGATGTTCTCATCCATCTGACCCTTGCAGTAAGCTGGCGGCCGCGCGAGATGGCGTGTCGGTACCAAAATAGAGGCGGAGGAATGAAGCTTGGCTGGAGCTAGCAGGGGCGGGCCGGAGGGAAGCGCCGGAGAAGCTTCGCGTGCGTGTCACAAGATGCAGCTTGTCGGCACTGGGCCAACAGTTGACAGAAGCTGGAACGGATAAAGGTCTTCGCGCCAATGGTTGGTTGTTGGACGGATAACTCTGCCCGCGAGAGCTGAAGTAGATGATGCACGCACGCGGCAACCGCAGAAAGGGGTATAAGTCCTAACCTCAGCTCTCATGTGCCGTTGGAAGATGCCCCAACCAAAGAGCCCCTTATCCAATAAGAGTCCGATGCTGCCATGTTCCTGACATGCGGCTGCCGTTGAGATGCCATTGCTGGAAGGCCGTGCCGCTCGACCAATTCAACCGCGCTGGGATGTTTCGGCTGACCGAGGATATCTGTTGGGAGTTGGCGCTGTCTGACAAAAATCTAGGTGTTTTCGCCTTGTTTTGGATTGATGTTGCTGCTTGTTAGGCCAGGACCCTTGTTCGCCAGCAGTCGTCGGATGCAGGAAGAGCAAAATGGTAGGTAATCATTTGAAATTCAAGGTTCGGCAGAGTGGGCCCTCTAACAAAGGAAACAAGTTGGAGGAAAGTAAAAAGTAGATCGAGCAAAAGGATCAGTTAAAAGCAATCAGACAGAGCAAATGTAAATCGATTATTTTGTAAATCCGTGTTATGGGACAACTTCCATTCGTTCCGTTCCTATTAGGTACCGAGGTAGGTAATTTTGTAGGTTTCCCCATGGGGTGCCAGGATATGGACGGCAGGGACGACCTGGAATATTCTGGGGTACAGACCGACAGAGCAGGAGCCGCCTAGGTAACGAGGTACCTCCCGCCTTCCAGGCAGGCCTGGAAGCCATGCAAGCCATGCAATATCTTCGAGGGTCCTTTTTGCGGGGAGGTGGTCGCTTGTGCCGGCTGATCGACAGGACTATTACGTGCAAATAAAATAGTGCATGCAGACAGGCGACTGGGAGATCTCGATGCGCTTCAACAGCCCCAGGCCGTGGATGACATGGCAGCGCGCGCTTCCAAAGGGGTTCATACCTGAATGCACTGTAGGTATCAAAAACGGCGCTCAACCCTTCACCCATTCAATGGCTCGAATAGAAACGCCAGCAGTCCGGCTTTCACCTCTCCGGCTATGTATAACGCCGAATCCTGCATTCCCTTTCCACGTTGCATCTGGTCGGGGGGTCATGGTGTCTTCGCGCCGGAGGCAGCCCCGGCAACAAGAGGGGAGAGACAAGGTTCACGAGGCCCGAGCCAGGGTAAAGAATATGAGGGGCAAAGGAGGGATGGATGCGGAGATACCGCCACGGCATCTCGGCTTCTAGAGGCAATTCGAGAGCTTCTCATGTCCGACCGAGTGTTTCATGATCAAACCTTCCCCAGGTGTGGCAAAGTACGACAGGGCCGCGGCTGGAAGATCTCCATGTTAGCTTCGTTGAAAAAGCCAATCTGACTCGGGCCCCAGATCCGCACTCCGTATCCAAATTCAGAACCATGCCCGTATCGGCCAAGACCGCGCCGCTAACTATCCCGCTTCCCGGGCCCACCTTAGCTGAGACCTCAATGTGGATTCTGAGAATGTGGGTTCGTGGGTGTCAAACCAACAAGGCCAGCGAGCATCATTCTTAATGTTAACCGAATTTCAAACAGAATATTTGCTGTGCGAATCTCTGATCTCTCGGTAGGTAAAGGTAGGTATTTTTGAATTTCACACAGTCCGTGCCAAGTCGTCCGATGTCAATTGGTTCTCTCGGGCCTGCGAGACATCCACCCCGAACATTTTTCACCATGTGGCGCCGTGAAAAGGGAAGGACACGGAGCTTGGGCAGTGATCCAACAATTAAACTACCCCAATCTGGCATGTCCCCCCGGCCAACGTTTTGATCTTCTTCCGTTACTTCGTACAGTTGGTTACTTCCTTTCCCCTTTGCCGCTCGAATGGCCGGCCTCTACAAATACGATTCGCTTGACGCTGTTGTGTAGACCACCGGTCGCCCAGATTCGGAGATTTTAATCACAGTGAGGGGTGGGATGAATAACCTTCTCGAACACGGCTCAGGCTCAGCCAAATCTTGGGACGAAACGCCCGGGCCACATCCGCCGTCCAGACGACAACCGTGCGATCTGGCAAGTCAGGTCGCGCCTGTCGACGGCCGCATCACAGTGGGGCGTGAAGCCTGCACGGACATTTTAATACCACAGCTGCAATGCGCTGCAGCCCCTCACCCCATTGAAACCTTCCGTGACACCCTTGACAGGAGGCTTCCATTGCAGCGCTTTCTGCGCGATTCAATACCTACCCAGTACATATATCCCAATGCATGTTTATACCTTTTTGGTTGCTCTCCACGCACAAAGCATCCGATCAAGTTACCTACGTGTTCCCATACTTTGTACAGACATACTTTCTATCCCAACCATTCTCCCACAGAACCTCCATTGCCATCATCACTTGCATCGTCTCCCCGATTCTCCCTTGTGTATCCACCAAACCCCAACTGAAAGCCACTTTCAGGAAGCACCAAAACACCCCCTGGTCGGAGCCTCCGAGCAACCTCCCGGGATCGCCCCTTGTGCAGCTCTACCAATCAGTCAACTTCAAGAACCTCTATCCGTCTCCATTGCTTTAGCCCCGACTTACCTTGCGCCACCCAGCAGCGGGACCAAAATCCTGAAGAACATCTTCGCTCCACTCCAGAAGCATTCTTAAGATTCACTCCCCCTTCTCCGACGCTTCGGTCACATTCCGGATCGGCCAGATTGAACACTGCAAGGCACACACGCATCACCCCATCGTGCCGACAACCGAGTGGTGCCGACTGCCGACGGCTGCCAACAACGTCAGGGAGCTCTTCCTCCAGCCTCGAAGAAACCAACCTGTGAAAAGGAGAGACGACGTGTACGAGAACGAACAGCGAATGCACACAAGCCATCGAACCCCCACGGGCATTTACTAGCCATATCAACGCGACTTACCGGCGCGCAATTAACGAAACTGCGCATTGCGAAGCAATGAGGTAGGCCTCTGCCGAGTCTTGTTCAAGAATTGGTTGTTGCTTGCTTGCCTGCCATTTCGATTCCTTTTGCAAGCTGCTTGCTTCTGGTTGCCCGGCATTGTATTGGCGTCGAGAAAGTGCGCAGTCTGCGCATGCGCCGCCCCGGTCCCTGCAGGCCCACCCCCCAAGTCTTTGGCTTTTTCTGCACCCTCTCGCTGTTCACATTGCTGACCGAGTCCGTCAATGTACAGGGCAGATGGCCGCTGCTACTGAAAGTGCGAGGATCCATCCCATCGAAACCTCGGAATCGTCAATGGGTGCGAGGACCATTCCTATCATCGCACCGACCATCCAAATGTCTACACCATCACCAGGGGAGCCCATGGAGATCACGACGCCGACGGGCTCGTCCGCCCCGGCCTCGGCCACCAAGAGCCCGGACCGCGACGTCAAGATCAACGGGGCCACCAACGACCGACTGCAGCCACCCGCTCCGCAGCACGAACAACCGTCCCACGATAACACCATGCCAGCACCAGCGGTGACAACCCCGGCCGTCCACCAGCCGAAGGTCCAGACGGCCTTCATCCACAAGTTGTGGAGGTGCGCTTCCTCTCCGACCCAACCTGCCCATCGCCCGCTAAACCTCGTGATAGCATGCTGGAAGACCAAAAGATACAACATTTAATCTCGTGGACGGCGAACTCGGACAGCTTCGTCATTCAGCCGTCGCATGAGTTCTCCAAAGTGCTTGCGTAGGGAGACTCCCCCCCATCTCTAGCCTCGCTGGCCATTTCTGACGCAGGATAGGCAATACTTTAAGCATACCAACATCTCGTCGTTTGTACGCCAACTGAACATGTATGGGTTTCATAAAGGTACAGTTCGCAGATTGTGTCGCCCTTGGTTTGGCGGTAATAGACTGCCGCTGACGGTTAGGTAGTGAGTGACGTCTTTGCCCACGGAACCCCCGACTCGACCATGTGGGAGTTCAAGCATGGGAACGGCAACTTCAAGCGGGGAGACATGATTGGGTTGCGCGAGATCAGGCGCCGAGCCTCTCGCCACGCGCTAGTTCACAGGGAGTACAACAACCCACGGGCGCCGCCGTCGCAACCCGGGACGCCCTCGGAACCCGTGCCGCCCACGCACGAAGTGTCGAACCCGAAGCTGAGCAGTATCGAGCACACCCTTTATGATCTGAGCGCGAGGCTGCAGCGCCATGAGGAGAACGCCCAGTTCATGCAAGTCAAGCACGAGGTCATGATGGACACAGTGGCCCGCTTGCTGCAATATAACCAAGACTTGTCGCGCGCGGTCCTGGCCCTTACCCCCGGCCCCGACAACCCGATATATCGGGACGGTAAGTGTTGGCCGTTTCCAAGGTTTGGTGGTACCAGTATAGCCTAATATTTTCTCCGATGGTAGTGTCGGTCTTGCAGTCGGATGTCCAGCGGCAGATGGATGTGTTCCGCACTCTGGAGCAGCCCCAGGAACCCGTCTTTGCCAGTACCCGCCCGTACTTCGCCAACGTGGAGAACGCTCCCGTGTCGCCGCGGCAATTACCCCAAGACGACCCCCGCAGATCCAATCTCGCGGTTCCCCAGCCACGGCAATCCAATTACTACCGCCCGTCGGTACCTTCGAATCTGTCGATCAGCACCCGCCGCCCATATGGATCAATAGGCGGTAACAGCACGCAATCCTCGCCATCATCGATCCGCGTCCAGCCGCCGCCGCCGCCGCCGCCCGGACCGCATCCCTTGGCAAACGTCGAGCTGCCCCCTGGTAGCCTCGCGCGGCGGCACACGTCGGCCGACATTCGGGCTCACGGGTGGCAGCCGAACCCGCCTCCGTTTGCATCCGGCCCTCCGTCGTCCCAGTGGCCGTCGTCGCCCAGCCGCCTCGCACCCGGCGACGACCAGCGCATCCGCGATTCGTTCTCTCATTATTCGCTCCAGCCAGCCTCGCAGCCCCACTCGCGCCCGGCAACGCCCCCTCTGCCGCATCTGTCCAACGGCGGTCCCCCCCCTGCGGTGGACACGTTTGGGAGCTGGTCATGGAACTCAGCAAACCGCAGCGACAACAGGAACCTGATGGTCAAGGACCACTCGGCGCCGCCTACGCGGAGGGGCAGCATGGCCCACATTCTCAACCCGACCGATACGGCCGAGCGAGCGGACGAAGACGGACAGGATCCCAGGGGAGATGACGACCGGAAGAGGAAGAGGTTGCAGTAAAAGACACGTCCTCGACGACGACTGGCTACCCATGGGGTGGGCAGCATCCAACAGTGTTTTCAACAGTGTTCAAACGAACTACGCCGCCACTTTTCTTCGATTTGTCTTGTTATCATTGTAATTCTATGGCCAAATCATTTCGCTTCATGGCAACGACAGCTCCCGACCATAGGGAATTTATTACCACCTAATCAGCCGCCGGATTTTCACTTCCATGTCACTCCAACAAGACCACGGCGGAGTAAATCGGAAGTGTAGTCCACGGCGCTCTCTCATTTTCAACGTCGGTTTCCTCACTTTTGTTGGCAGTATCCATCTTCATGGGAGGGCATCTGGGCCGGGTTTTCCGGAGATTCATTCCTATATAAAGGCGACGAGGGGACCGGGTCTGGTCGGGTCTGACCTCGCGTGTACCATGATCATCTTGTTTCTGGTCGAGCTTGAGTTTGTGTCGACGGCGGTACTATCTTGCATGGATGCCAAGGCAAGCGGGCGGGAAAAGCGTCTCATTTGGCGGTTTCTGAAGTATGACTTTGGGGTTCGTTCCGGCCCTCGTGTCTGGATAATGTACTCGTGCTTGAGTTTAGGTAGCAATGGCTCCATGGTTCTGTAATTTACGTTTTGCTTTGGGGTGTGGGTTGCGCGGCGTGTAAATAGTTGTCTTGTGTGTACGATAGCGTTTTAGGATGGATGCGCTGCTGTCAATTGTTATCCGAGGGCTGGGCCAATGCTCGTGGAAAGAGACTGTGGTTCTCGGTGCTGGCGTTGCGGTTTATCACTGCGGTTTGATCGAAGTCAAGCTTGTCTCGCAAGAGAACGCGATTGTTGTGGTTCGAGTATTATGCACTATCAACATTATCTCCGCAGTCTCAAACCCCGACCTCGGCTTTCCCATCCACTCCCTTCTTCTTTTTCTTATCCTTCTTCTTCTTCTTTTTGTTCTTTTCATCACTCGCCCGCTCCTGCATTGTCGTCTCCTGTGGCTCTTCGCTCCGCCCCTCTCCACCAACCTCCGTATCACCCATCGCAACATCACCACCCCCATCCACTTCCAACCCTACGCTACCGTCCTCCTCTTTTTCCTTCTTCCCAACCGCCCCCTTCACCCCCACCCCAACCCCCCCAGAAGGAGAAGAAGAAGAAGAAGCAGAAGCAAACGCCGGCGGGAGTGGGTGGGAAAGCCGAGGTCGGGGTTTGAGACTGCGGGGGTCGACTTCCACGGCAGTGGCGGTGATATGGGATCTGAAGGTGAATAGGCCGGCGTTGTCCAACGTGTCCAACTCGGCGATAGCGGAAGGTACCTACACTGCTCTCCGCTCGACCGGCCACCTCGCCGCGGAGGTCACCTACACTACTCCCAACTCGACCGTAGCAGTTACTGCCGTTCTGCCAGCCCGCCGGTCAGTCTTCACTGGCAAGGGTCCGCAAGATCATCACCGCCGTCAACAGCAGGGATGCCTCTTTGACGCTAGGATGGTCTCCGTTGTCACCAGAATGGCCTCAACGCCGTTGAAAGGGGCCACAATGTTGTCGCCGACGCCCAAAAAGAAAGGCCATCTTTGATGCTATGATGAAGGACATGACCGGATCGCATTCTCCGCCCTACCTGAAAAGAGCCGGGCCGCCGATGCTC